CCCAACAGTGGAAATGCGGCTAATCTTTTCTTCATCTAATAAATGACTTGCGCCTCAGAGGGTAATCCTGAAACGCGTAGTGGCGTTTAAAGGTGTCAGACGCGAAGCTAAGATGCTCTTAATTCTGGAGGTCATGAATAATATAATAACACTAATACTTAAACTGTAAGGCGTTTAAGAATGACCAAAACAAGAGTTCAGATGTTTTATAATGTACTGAGCCGGCTGGTTTGTCCATTCATACACATTTTTATCATCACATGATCTCTTATAACAAAATCACATGACCTTTTTAATGCACATACTGGAGTTTGTATCGTTTTTCCATCGTGATTTTTGATCTTTTCTTATCGAATAAAACGTTTATCCTACTCAGTTATGCGCATACTTTTTTTTTTTGCATCATGGTGTTTCCATAAACCGTTTTTTTTATGTGCATAAAAATAGGTGGATGGAAACATAACTATTGAAAGACAGGAATGAGTTTCTCTCTTGTTACTTGTTCTCGTGTCTTTTGTCATTATTTTATTTATTATTAGTCTCCCATTTTCTCTACCTTCTTAAGGCTATTGCTTTTCTTGTTCTCCTACTGTTTGTAAAGTGTCCTTGAGCACCAGCGCTATATAAAATAAATAAAAACTTAAACTGAGCTGAAGATATTTGACCTACAGTATTCTCATAGAAGATATCTGCTATTATGGTGATGGTGTTGGCTTAGTACTTTCCATTTGCATATGTCACATTGATCCAAATTAACTTTTTTCATCGACCTCTTTTGGTTTTAACTTGTTTCTAGTAGATGTTACTAGTTCTCAAAGATAGTATTAGAGTTAGAATTACATCATTATTATAATAACTAATTATCAGGGCTATTGTGTTTAACCAGGGTTTCTGTGGGGTCTTAAAATGTCTTAAATTCAAAAATTTCGGCCTTAAAAAGTCTTAAATTTACTGAAATTTTGTGTTGTAGGTCTTTAATCTTTTTTTAAACAAGTCTTCATTTGCCTTTGTTCATTTTTTGCTACCCAATCTGGCCAAAACCCATACAATCACCAACAATCCATCTCAATAAAACTTTCAACTTTTCATTCAAAAACGTCATTTTAACTGTATTTATTATAATGGTTGAAGTATTTTCCTCACGATAACATTTGTTGAAACGTACTTCATGTATTTACTGCTAAAGACATCGAGGATAGATTGTTGTGTAGATTTAGTTTGTTATAGTTTTTAAAACATTTGTTCATTTTTAATTATTTTTTAAAGAAAGTTTATTTAGGAAAAAAGGGTGTGGATACAAGTAAAGCTTGCATGATATTACACACAATTTAAAATCTTTTGCTAAGAAATATCTATAAGATATATTTTTTATTAATTTATTATTGTATTATTAAATGTATTAAATTATCATTTTTTTAAATAGGGCAAATTAAAATCTTTTCCATCTGGGGTATTTGAAAAATTCCTTAGCCTTTAGCCCTTTATGAGTCTAAAATTGTCATAATGGTCTTAAAAATGTCTTTAAAAGTCTTACATTTAACTTGGTGAAACCTGCAGAAACTCTGGTTTAAAGTAAAAAAAAAAACATGGATGCCCCCAATATTAAATATGCTGAATGAAATGGACACTAAAGTAATTAATTATTATAAAACATTGTACAGAATTCTAAACTATATGGTGTTGCTGCTGGGCGACGTGAGACTAAATGAACAAACTATTGTGGAACAATAACGTTTAACATTGCACTGACTACAACTGGCCAACAAACTAGTCGAAAAAAGACTTTTGCTGCTTAAGAAATGGATTACAGCATGCTGATAATATGCAGAGATTTGAGTGTAAAGTTCATCAGTATTAACGATATTCTTCACGTACCAGCAGGCGCCGCCATTTGAATCTTTTTTCTCTTGACTTTTATTAAAGAATTAATTTTAGTTACTAAAAACAGTGTTGTGCTGCTGAGGCATGGGACGATAACCATTTTCAAGGTATAACGCAGTTTGAAAAAATTAGAGGTTTTAAAACCGCCAATATTTTCTGCTGTACCGTTCATCGATATATGTAAATTTTTTTTTTTTACATTTTGTTTTAAGATTTTCAGGACAACAGTATCTCCAGCAGAAAAGATCTCCAAAGATGCCATTTTAAATTGTAAAGTAATCTGTGTTTATAAAACAAATGAAGACAGCAGAAGTCAAGGATTCAATTGAGTGATTTAGCCTGACATGTTTACTGCTCCAAAATACTTTAAAAGTTTCTCAAAAGAAAATGTTTTGTGTTCTAAGAGGAAAAAGTTTCTGTTTACCCAGACATTTAAAGGAGTAATCACAGTACCATAAAACTGTGATATTTTTATTCAAGGTTTTCATACTGTCAGAATCTTATACTGGCCCATGCCTAATGCTGCTTGTTGTAGCAAAGTCATATTTTCTAATTTTATTGTTTTTCTTTGTATGTATAGTCATGAACACACTTGTTTGCAGAGCAAGAGAGCCTGTCTCTGAAAGAGAGTTTTCTGTCGGTCTCCTCCCCTTTTTAAAAGATAAAGCGGTATTTCTCACTTAGCCTTACATATTCAGCCACATATTTTTATGTGCATTTTGGATAGGCTATGACCATAAAAAATTGGTTGATGGAAATGTCATGATGCACATAACTTTTGAAATATAAGCATAAAGACACATGCGCATAACTGAGTAGGACAAACTTTTTATTCGATAAGAGAAGGTAAACTCACGTGAACAACGCAAGCACTTTTACTGAACAAATTCCAGTATGTGTGTTTAAAAAGGTTTGTTATAAGAGATCATATGATGATGAAAATGTGTGCGAATGCACAAACCAGCAGGCTGAGAACATTATAAACATCTGAAATGTTGTTTTGGTCATTCTAAAACACCTGAACCGTTTCAGTATTCATGTTATTATATTATTAATGACCTCCAGAGCATCTGTTCTCTGCGTCTCATTGCTTCAAACGCCAACACGTGTTCATTGTGTGCCAGCATTGTCCTCTGAGCAGTCATTTAAATGAAAGATTCATGTAGCTTCTTCTACCGCAGTAAATTCTGTTTTTACTGTTCTTAATTGGGGCCTGTTAATCAGGAAGTGACGATTTTGTTCTCTTTGATTCATTGGATGGAAACGCAGCTTTATTCACACATCTTTTATGTAACATCCCAGTTTTGCGCATAAATTTAATTTACATTTTTGGATGGAAGCATAGCTATTGTCTACATTTCAGTTACACAAAGAACAAAGTCACATAGCAGAATGGCTTGTCCTTTCTTAATGAATAATTAGCTTAAATTCACTGACCTTTGACGGACATGTACTGTAACTAGATTAATGGGATTATTACTCGTTATAAAAAGATTTTTTTAGTCCTGCTTACATTCTAAATGTCATATCAACCTCTACCATTTGATAGGGCTGTGCAATTAATCGAAAATCTGGTTTCAATTTTGATTTTGGCTTCTAATGATTATGAAAAACCATTAATCGAGATAAACGATTATTCTATCATATAAAACACACACCTAACGCCATCTTAATCTGAGCGCTTTAATGGTCAAATACATGCCAATTTGGGTCAGAGTGCTGTGTTTAGTGAATATTCATATTAACCCTTATTTGTGTAATAAACAAACAAGTTGAGAATCAAAAGACATGTGAAAGAGAAACCATATCAGAGCCGCACTATTCTTAAAGTGACAGCGCGCAATATTCCTGCTGCCGACTGTTTTTAGCATTAATCAAACAACAAAAGAGGAAAATCCCTCACTGCTCTTGACTGAAAGACTTTTGTTGCTCAAATGTTTTTCTGAAATTGAAAACTCTTGAGTATTTAATCTCTCGGTAAATCAACTCAGAGATCAAGATTAAACTCTGAGTTGGTTGAACCTCCTTACTGAAACAGGCCCCAGGTCATCATGACATGATGGACAATTGTCGCTGTTTGTCATTATACTCTGTTTATCCTGAGAGCTGATGCTGAGTATTCTTAGGGCTTTTCACACTTTAAATTGTTAACCCTGGGTCATTCTAACCCTGGATAAATTCTGGGTTATCTGTAGTCACCTTCCACACTGCTCATGCTATACCTGGGGTTAAAAAATAATCCTGGGTGTTCATTAACAGACAGTTCACATTTTTAATCCCTGGGTTATCATTATTATTTTGTATATTTACGTTGTTACTGTCCCTGATTGGACAAACCACAAGTAACCTTTTTAGATGGCATTTCTGCATCTTGTCGGGTAGACCAAGTAGGTCTTCAGCTAAGCCTCGGGGCATACACAAAGACAAGAAAACAAAAACAAAAGTACAAATAAATGAAAACAAGTAACAAAGTATGTCATCTTGCCATCTCCTCATCACTCCTGTTTAAAGCAAATGTGGCATTAAGAATTTGCATAAGTTTTATATAATAATGCAAACTTGCAAATATAAGCGTGAATTATGCAAACTTGCTATGGACATGCAGGATTTGTCTCAATCGAGGAAACAACACAAGTAATCTAGAGGGAGTGCATTTGGTTATTTACATTTAAAGTCACAGGCACAAAAAGAGCTTGGTTTGCCTTTGACCCCCAAAATTAAATATTCTACAAGGTATATGATCTGATTTTGAGCTGAAACCTCAGACACATTCTGGGAACACCAAAGACTTATTTTACATCATGTAAAAAATTAGTTATTGTAGGAACCTTTTAAAGGGATAGTTGTGCAGAAATGAAAATAGCCTCACCATTTACTCTTCCTCGTGTGGTTTTAAACCTTTATGAGTTTCTTAATCCTGTTAAACACAAAAGAAGATATTAAAAAAAGAAAAAAAAAACGCTACTGGCTTACTGTGTTCCACAATAAAGGAAATGTCTAAAACTACATGACGGAGAGTAAATGATAAGGCCATTTTCATTTGTGGGTGAAACATCCATTTCTTGCTTATCGCTTTGAGCCTTCATACTAAAGTTAACTTTTTTTTTTTTTTTTTTTAGATCTGATGGTGCTGAAAGAAGAGACTCATGGACAGAATGAAATAGATGAGAAACAGCAGTTTGAGAAACCCAAAGAAATAACGACTGATGAAAAACCCACACTGACTAAAAAGACTTCATCACACGAAAGACTTCGGAAATCAAAATCTGGGTGTAATTTTAGCTGTAAACAGTGTAGAAAGAGTTTCAGTCAGAAGTCAAAGCTTGATGTTCACATGAGAGTTCACACAGGGGAGAAACCTTACACCTGCGAACAGTGTGGAAAGAGTTTTAGTCAAATACAAGGCTTTAAAGCCCACATGAGAATTCACACTGGAGAGAAGAAGTTCCCATGCCAAGAGTGTGGAAAAAGCTTTTATCATGCTGGAAACCTTGCAGCACACATGAGAATTCACACTGGGGAGAAGCCTTTCAGCTGTAAGCAGTGTGGAAAGAGTTTCTGTCAAAAGCCAAACCTTGATATTCACATGAAAATTCACAATGGGGAGAAGCCTTTCAGCTGTAAACAGTGTGGAAAGAGTTTCTGTCAAAAACCAAACCTTGATGTTCACATGAGAGTTCACACAGGGGAGAAACCTTACACCTGCGAACAGTGTGGAAAGAGTTTTAGTCAAAAACAAAGCTTAAAAACCCACATGAGAATTCACACTGGAGAGAGGAAGTTCCCATGCCAACAGTGTGGAAAAAGCTTTTATCATGCTGGAAACCTTGCAGCACACATGAGAACTCATACTGGGGAGAAGCCTTTCAGCTGTAAACAGTGTAGAAAGAGTTTCAGTAAAAAGCCGAACCTGATTGCTCACATGAGAGTTCACACTAGGGAGAAACCTTACACCTGCGAACAGTGTGGAAAGAGTTTAGGTAAAAAACAAAGCTTTAAAACCCACATGAGAATTCATACTGGAGAGAAGCCGTTTACATGTGATCAATGTGGAAAGAGCTTCACAACCAAAGCTAGCCTCAAGAATCACATGAATGGTCACACTGGAACCATAGTGTTCACATGTGATCAGTGTGGAAAGAGTCTCACCCGCAAAGACACCATTAAGAAACACATGAAGATTCACTCAAGAGAGGATCATTTTAAATGCAGTGAGTGTGGAAAGGGCTTTAAGTGTAAAAGAAGCCTCAACACTCACCTAAAACTTCACAATAGAGAGCAGAGTCCTCAACATTGAGGTCTTGTCCACACAAATTCGGGTATATTCAAAACGACAGCTTTTTCACTGTGTTTGGCTGTTTATTCACGTTAAGTTTATTTATAAACTACCTTTGAGAGGATCACATGCTTATGATTGTCCACGGCTGGTTGCACATTAGATAAAACATGATTCACCAATCAGATGATTCCTGACTCACTATAAATAGAGTTTCTTACCTTAGTTATCTTCATCTTGAAGAATCCCCCTCCCACCTTTACTCCCCCTTCTTTCTAGATTAGGCAACACCGCAGCCCAGTGGTTAGCACAGTTGCCTCACAGTAAGAATGTCACAGGTCAAAGTCGCTACTAACCAGTTGACATTTTTGTGCAGTTTGCTCATTCTCCCCGTGCTCGTGTGGGTTTCCCCTGGGTTCCCTAGTTTCCTCCCACGGTCCAAAAACACACAACCTAAGTAAACAGAACATTACATTGGCATTATAGTCGAGCTCTTAGTAAGCCTTATATCTCCCTTAAGCCAACCCTATATCTGTCATTAGAATAGAAACAAGTCTAGGGAGTTCATCGAGATCACTCTTTGCTACAAACTGAATGTTATTTAAAACTTTATTACCTGTTATTCACAGCTTATGCAGGTTCTGTTCACTAAAGTAGACTTCATTCAGTGTGCACACCCGCCCACTCTGTGGTAACAGCTGACGGTCAGCTCACGTCACGTGTGATTTTGCGGTCACAAATACATTATTACATGAAGACAAAAATGAAATTTTTGGGGTGAATTATATCTTATAAATACAGCATGTGACTCTTTCAACACCATTCGGAGGTGTCTACTTTGCTAAACAACAAATGTAAAACTAAGTGAAGACTTGTTCGGCCACTTTTTCTTCTCTCCTGAGCTTGAAAATATGATTGACAGAATCATAGCAATGCTGGATTAAGATCGTCCAGTGGCGTTGAGAGGGGGGGGGGGCTTTGGGGGCTTAAGCCCCTGATGTATTGTCAAAAGCCCCTGATCTCTTGGAATATGTTGCATTTAAATAAAAGTATGTTGTATAATATTTATTTTGTTATCTAAGTACTGAAAATTACCACATACATCACGAACATTCCACTTAACGCAGCGTTTGTGTTAGGTAAATAAATCGTCAGCTGTTCAGCAGTACCTGTTTCTACCGGCAGGTGGGAGTGGCTCTGTTGTCACATGGTGTTAAAAAAATCCCGCCACTGCACTTTATTCATTCATTATTTTGAGGAGCTGAAGCTAATGAGGTAATAATACAACTCTTTCGTGAAACTGAATAGTTTTAACTACTGATTAAGCTTATTTATTTGTTTTCACAGTATAAAATGTGTAGTTTTGGTGAAATAAAATAACTATAATCAGTAAAGTGTGCATCATATCAATGTAAATACATGCGAGTTAGTCAAAAAAAACGTAAATTGTACTAGCTTTCTAGATATGAAATAGATATCTAGGCATATTTATATGATATAGCTAGTCACATCTGTTTCTGTAATAGTTACATCACAGTGAGTTCATCTAGCTTATTATTATATAGCTATATTCTACTGTAACATGCTGTCAGTTAGCATCGAATTATAAATCGACTTTCTTATGGAAATAACTAAAATGGTTAGAAGAACACATACAGTTAAAGTCTGAATTATTAGCCCCCGTTTATTTTTTTCCCCCAAATTTGGTTTAACGGAGAGAAGATTGTTTTCAACACATTTCTAATCATAATAGTTGAAATAACTCAACTCTAATAACTGATTTATTTTATCTTTGCCATGATGACAGTAAATAATATTTGACTAGACATTTTTAAGACACTTTTATACAGCTTAAAGTGACCTTTAAAGGCAGGTTAGGGTAATTAGGCAAGTTATTGTATAACGATGGTTTGTTTTGTAGACTAGGAAAAAATATATCTTAAAGGGGCTGATAATTTTGACCCTAAAATGTTTTTTTAAAAATGTAAAACTGCTTTTATTCTAGTTGAAATAAAACAAATAAGACTTTCTTCAAAAGGAAAATATTATCAGACATAGACTACTGTGAAAATTTCCTTGCTCTGTTAAACATCATTTGGGAAATATTTAAAAAAGAAAATAAAATTCAAAGGAGGGCTAATAATTGTGACTTCAACTGTATAAAACATTTATTATCACAGTCGTGTAAATGAGTAGTAATTATGGGGGACTACCTGTCAAAAAGTTTGATGTATTGTAGCCCCGCCCCCTAAGGCAGGACTTCCGGTCCAAGCCCCGCCCCTTTTATATAAACTTTATAGTTCCGGTAATTAGATTCTTATCGGTTAATATATAATAATAATCCCGGTAATTAGATTCTTATCAGACTAATTAAATTAATAATTCTGGTAATTAGATTTTTATCAGACTGAAATAAAATTATTATTATAATAATAACGGTAATTAAATTACTGTTATTAGAAGCATTATTTTAAATTTTTAATTATTGCAGTAAATTATATTATTATAGTACATTAAATGATATTATATTAAGTTATATACAATTAATATTTTCTTAAATAAAATTATGTATTGTATTATATTATATCATATTAAGTTATATTAAATCATTATTTTATTAACTTATATTATAATTATATCATATTATATAATATTATATAATATTATTATAATATTTATATTTATAATATATTATATATCATTATTATTCCATTATATTATATTATATTATATTATATTATATCATTACATTATTATATTATATTAAATTATATTTTATTATATTATATTATATCATTACATTATTATATTATATTATATTATAATTAATAAACTATTAACATAAAAATTTCTTTATGTTCATACCGTTGTTTCCTCTGTGTGTCAGTCTGGGCCTGAGCGTGTGAGTGATGATAAGGAAAACTTTGGATAACATCTCGTCAACTGCTTGTGAAAGATAGATTTATGTCAGATGTAGAATATGTATATCTGATTGTATGTGGTGGGTGTCTCCCACTAAATACTATATGTTGTTAGGTGATTAGAAAGTGTGCTGATATCTATATATCCACATGCAGTCAACTGTATGCGTGTGTGTGTGTGTGCGTGCGTGCGTGCGTGCGTGTTACTAAATATGTTCATTAATAGGATATGTTGTTTTTTACATTACTACTACATTAATACATATTTAAAGACACACAAACATCTTGATGTATCTTTGTTGGACTATTAAATTTAAATTTGTTTACAATATTAATCCAGTAAATAACAAATCTTAATCTGTATTAACAATAAATTGTCACACCTTTTAAAACAACGTTATCTAAAATGTAATGTTCTAAACTGTTGGTTGAAAAACACAGATGTAAATTCAAGTTGTCTTTGTAATTAATGAAAACTTTTATTATGAAAAACAATTTAAAATGAAAGTTTTTCCTTTGACTAACATGTTTTCAATTTATTTACATACATCTCGTGTAATTCCTGGTACACATTGTAATACAGTCAATCCAAAGATTATTGTTTTGAGCACTGGTCATCACTGGTGTAGGTTTAAAAATCAACATAAAAAGTTTACTAAAAGGACGTATCAGTCTTTAGACATTATTCATTTCTGTTTCAAAAGATAAATAAAATTTAATTTTATTACTACAATTTGTAGTAATTGCATTACTAGACAACTTAGTTACTGAATTTTAGATTCAAACTGTTTTCTTAATTTATTGCAAATACTTGATCATATAAAGAGAAATGTGTATATTATTCAGAATAATGGAATATCACTGATATTTATTTTAAGAAGAAAAATTGGCTCTCAGTTTATCTAAAAACAGTACAGCTCCAACCCTTAGTTAAATCTACTTAATGTTTTATAGTAAAATTTTCTAGTTTAACTACTGAATCCACCATTTACATGTTCATACAATAGTGTCAAATCTACTAAGTTTACATATTTGTCAAAATTAGTCAAGTTTACAAGTAGTTCTTGAAAGTAGACTGATTACTTTTTTACAGGGTAAATGATGCTTTTCTTATACCAATAGACTTAATCAAGATTATTGTCACTACACACCAGTGGTGGTAAGAGTACAAAAAAATTGTACTCAATTACAAGTACTGTTACATTGCTGAAATTGTACTCAATTACAAGTAAAAGTACTGGTGTTAAAAAGTACTCAAGTAAAAGTACAAATTACTCTTCGTAAAAACTACTCAAATTACAAAATTACAAATTACTTTTTTAGCTTGGCGGTATTGGTGGAATTATCCATAAATGCGGAGTCAGACAAGATCCAGGCAGTAAAACACATTTTACATAACACATTTAAAGATGCTATAAACACTTTTAAAACTGTGTAAACAGCATTAATTATAGATAATAATTATAGAGCACCTATAGAGGAAACCCACGCCAACATGGGGAAAACATGCAAACTCCACACAGAAACACCAACTGACTCAGCCAGGGCTTGAACCAACAAACTTTTTACTTTGAGGCGATAACAATACCCACTGCGCACCATGATTATTTTACAAAAACAATGTTTTGTTATTTTGAGTATAAAGATAACAGAAATATGCACAAATGCACGACTTTTTGTCATTTCAAATGATGCCTCTTTTATCTGTACGATCAATAGATGATGTAATAAATAAAAAAAAAACACTTGCAAATTATGGAGAAACTTCGTTAATTACCTAACTCGCGAACTGAACCGTCAGAAACCACAGAACAACACTGCCTAGTGCCTAAACATATTATTAATAAATATAATATCACACAAATTAAGTTATGTCTTCTTACCATAATGTTTTTTTTTTAGATTATAGATTGAAGTCTTAAAAAAAAGGGTTTCTGCAGATATCATAATGTCAAATTTAAGACTTTTTAAGACCTCTTTAAGACCATAAAGTATTAAATTTAAGACCTATATCACAATATCAAAAGCATGCAAGAGAAAATGCAAAAACACAAAATTTGTGGTAAAATAAAATTATTTAAATAGAACAGTACTGAAGACAGGTTAGATGCACCATTGAAGTGCAGGAACAAAAAAACAAAGAAACAAACATTTAGAGGCTGATTTATACTTTCGCCTGGCTCCGCATTGCACACCTCCGCTGACTGTGCGCACTTCACGAAATGGATGAGGCTTTAATAGTAGACGCGTTCGTCATTGTGATATTCTTTAAAACATCAGGGGCCAGTCAAAAGACACCTCACTGTAAAGTCAGACGGATAAACAGAGAAGTAAAACGTTTTCAGAACTACGTCATATCTTTAATATTGTTCAAGATTTTAAAAATAATTATTTTTCATTATTTTTATAATTTATTATGATTACAAAGTTGGGTGACGGGGTGGGGCAGTGGGTAGCGCTCTCGACTCAAGGCAAAAAGGTCGCTGGTTCAAGCCTTGGCTGGGTCAGTTGGCATTTCTGTGTGAAGTTTGCATGTTCTCCCCGTGTTTGCGTGGGTTTGCTCAAGATGCTCCGGTTTTCCCCACAGTCCAAAGACATGCATTTTAGGTGAATTAGGTAAGCTAAATTGTCTGTTATTGTAAATGAGAATGGGTTGCAGCTGGAAGGGCACCCGCTGTGTAAAACATATGCTGATAAATCATTCGGTTCATTCCGCTGTGGCGACCCCAGATTAATAAAGGAACTAAGCCAAAAAGAAAATTAATGAATGATTATAAAGTTTTA